AAAAGATCAGGTTTTTCTTTTATTAGGGTAACAAGGGCAAAATTCTGAAACCATCCTCTGATAAAAGTAGTACAGACAACGAGTAGAACAAGTGTGGGTTTTTTGATGGAGTTAAAGATCCAAATCTCAAGACAGACTCACTAACAGGGAGCAAAGCAGGACATGGCAAACACATCCCTGATTCACCTGATGCAAGGCAGAGAATGCCATGTATTTCTACCAAAAAAAGGACATAATAACCACCCCATATGAAACACTAATCAATCTACCTGCATCCTAAAACTTGTTTTATTTCTTTGCCTGATTAATGCAACAGTAAATATTTCACATCAGTGTGTTTCATATTTATGCTAATTACTGATCTGCACAACTTGCACTAAGAAATTCCCTTTGCTCAATATGCAAGTTTCCTTTTGTCAGCATTCTTTTGCAAAACACCCTGCCAATATATTACATATAGAAAAGCCTATTATTTCCTTTACTGAGTCCTTCACTGTATAACCCCTTCTCAAACCATCTTCATACAAAATTTTACTCCTGCCTCTACTCATAAGCAAGTACCCCATAACACACAATATCAGGACATGGAAAAAGAAGGATAAGGTAAATTTCACCAACACAGATAGAACTACAAAAATCACCCTGCTCTTAACAGAAGCAGATCCATCCCAGGGTATAACCTCTTGCAGTGCAGAAGGCAAATGAGGAGTGGTGTTGTGTCCCTGATCTGACTTACAGCAACTCTTAAGACAACTGAAATTGGGAAGTTCAAAAAAAGAAGATTCAAGTAACTCCATGTCTCATGTCCAGCTTCCCTGTCTAGTACTGACCCTTGTGGCATGACAGCAGTTTTGAGTATTTGGAAACTATTCAGTATCAAAGAACACTCCAGAAAATAGAGTGAAGAAGTTTCTAATGTTCCACTGAAGAATACTGAGGTATCCCAGGATATCAGATACAAAAGGCCCAGTGATTTCAATTGCTAAGATGCAGCTTTCATCCCTCAGAAAGGAATGTTTACATGTTACCACACAGGAAAGTTGTAAGTAAGGTAACACACTGCTTGACACAACACATTTGGCAAAGAGCAGAAAGCACTTTAAAGACTGCACTGGGTAAAAGATGCCACTTATTTTTCAACCAAGCCTTTAGAGAAGAGGGAACTGTCCTCTCAAGGAAAGATACACGAGGGCATCTCAAATGCTGTGTGCTCAGGAGTGCCTCAGGTGACTCACCGCTCCCCAAGAGACAGGGAAGGTCTCCCTCTGACACCTGTCTTGAGAATATATATTCTACTTGATAAGACACAAAATCCACAAGAGAGATGGAGCATAGCACCAGCTGTACTATAACCTCAAGTTCTGCCCTTATCTTCTGGCAGGGCTGTTCTGTTACACAACCCTGAAGTGACTCTCCAGTCGCCCCAGGCAGTTCTGTAAAGACAGCACTGTTGTTCATATAACTAAGCAGTGTCAAAAAATAAAGCAACTCCTATCATATTTGACCCAGAGACAAAAGCCCAAATTTATCTTTGATAGTGCTGCCACCAGTACGACGAGACCACCACTGCTGCCTCCCACCTATGATCATATGAGGGTAAATCCTCAACTGCTCCAGCTTGCACCAAGACATACTATTGCTGAAAGCATCCATTTCCTCTCACTCGAGTTCCCATTTTACCTTTCTTACCCATAAATAGGATCCCAGTGATCATTTATGCCAAAGCCACAATTTTCAATTTCTTCCACACTACAGAGATTAGCTCGCAGGATTTTCATTAAAAGTTCCCCTAGAAATTACAGCCGTTTTAGCTGCAAAGTTTAAATTTGGAAATTAAATCATGTACTGCCATATTACAGTCTCACACAGCTACAGAGATTATTAAGAGTTCAGAGAATCAAAAGTAAGGCCAATTCACCTGATTTTAGTCAACATGGTGCTGCTTCCAGTTGCTGCCTATGTAGAGCTAAAGGGACTGTGTTAATGCTGCATAATAACCAGGCACAGTGAGGCACACACTCGGTTTTTTAACTGCAGCTGAAGTTAGGGTGCAAACAAATCAAGATATAAAGTGATTGGCCGCTCAGAATCCCAAATATATTTCTAGCATCAAGTGTCTCAGGATGCACCACTTCTTTCAGAAGGGATATATTACAAGTCAAATCCCCTTATTTATAACAACAGCTGGAGCTTGCACTGCTCAGCAGTGCTGCATTAAGGTGGATTAGAATAAGATTTTTCAGACTGCAAAATGAAAGGCAGAAGGCAAAATAAACCAGCAAATCTAGCAAGGAAAAGACTCCTCCGGGACTGGCAGGCTCTGATTTGCAGTATAACTGTAATCACCAGTCACACTTCACAGTGTAAGACTTGGAAACAGACACCCTTGGGATACCATCAGTTCACATCTCATTTATTTTCCTGAATTTTACATCTCACCCTCTGCCCCCAACAGTGAAAGATTAACACCCATCAGTGATGTTACTTACTATGTCCTCCCAATACCCTGTTAGTTAATTATCTTACCAGGACCATAAAGGTTGCTATCAGTGTCAAAGGGACCTATGGATTCACTTGGACTGAAGATGCTCTAGCACAGCAAAGAGGGAAGGCAAAAAGCACAGTAAACCCCACAGAGCAATATATTTTAAGATATTTGTGGCAACTATGCTACACCTTTTACATTTACTACTGCTAGAGTTTTGTCAAGCATCCTCACGAAGAGAAGGGAAATGTAAACACATCTATTTTCTCAATACTGTTCCACCTGCCTGTGCTCTAACCTGCTGTAATTCACCCCACATGGGGGCTTCATCCCACCCAACTTGATTCTGGTCAGATGTGTGGTCAAACTGACAGACCAGAGCTTTCCTTAAGAGAGAGAAGAGTCACACTTCTTATCTTTGGGGAAAGCTATTTAATTCAGTCCTCTCTCCCCTGTATGCGAGATCACTTGATGTCATCAGTAATTACTGTTGTGTTCTTCTGGGAGGAAGGAGAACTGGAACTACAGTAGTCAAAAGTAAGGCACAGCAGTATTGCTGTCAATTTATCCCATGATTTTTATTTACACATACTAATTAGTTTTGGGGCTCAACATCTGTACTGTCTTAAACCAAAGTTTATCTCCCCCAAAGAAGCTCATAAGAAAACAGCACAGTTGTCCTTACTAGCAGTAGTCCCAGGAGTGTTGTATTCATTGCTTCTCCCAGAAAGCTCCTGTTTTTCAGACAAAAATAAAGCCTGTTTCTCCCTTGGATAGGTATCTGTGCTTCTCAAGTCTCCTCTGACCTGTCAGTTCCCATCCTGCATTCTAGTCTGTGGGAGGTACTGGAAGTAAATCCCCATGTTCTGAAGGTAACCTTCACTGTCTCCCAACAACAGGAGCACATAAAGTCTTGGAAATCGAACCATAAATGTATCACTTTATCAACATCTTTTCTGTTCATGTTGAAATATTCTGAAAAATATTTCAATTTGTGGTTGTGCATGATATTGTCTGCTACTTGCTGCAAAACCATCCCTTTAAGTTTTCCACTTATAATTGTCCAATGCTGTTTTAAGAAAAAGAAAAGGAACATAAACACAATGTGTAGTCTTACTGCACCTTTGTCTGTTTTTTAATACTTTGGAAATGGGATAGATAGAAGGGAAAAAAACAAAACAAAACACTCTTTCTGGGCATCAGGGAAGCCTTGGCCAAAGGTCCTTCACATCAACAGGAATACAACATAGTTCCCAAAAAATAAGAATGAAAAAAAAAAAAGAAAAGTAATTATTTCAACAGTAATTCTGCATGTTCTGTCACTCCCCTGTTTCTCCAAGGACATTCTTTTTCCTCAGAAAAGGTTATGGAGGTCTGTCTCCGAGCTGAGTAACTTAAGCTGTATAAAGACTGATATTTCACTTGCCAGGCAGATTTCATTATTTAGAAAAGAAAAAAAAGAGACAGTATGGCAAGACCTCCTCGTCAGCACCACACAAGGAACCGTTTGCCAAACACACACCGCAACTTTTAAGGAATACAAGCAGGAAAGCGCATTGAGGGAGGGAAGGAGCGGGGATCCCTCACGGGGGGGCGGGAATCAGAAGGGATCCCTCACAGACGGCGGGAAGAAGGGGATCGCTCACAGACGGCGGGAAGGAGAAAGGGGTCCGTCAGGGAAGGAGGGAAGGAGAAGGGGATCCCTCACGGGAGGAGGGAAGGAGAAGGGGCTCACTCAGGGAAGGAGGGAAGGAGAAGGGGGTCCCACACAGACGGCGGGAACGGCGGTCTCGGCGGTGGCGCTGCCCCCTCATCGTCCGCCCCGCCGCCACCTCCCCGCAGCCCGGCCCGGCCCGGGACTGCCCGCCCCGGCCCCGGCACCCACCGCCGAGCCAGTTGGAGGAGATGTTCTGCAGCATGGTGAAGGGGACGCAGAAGAAGGCGATGAGGAGGTCGCTGAGCGCCAGGGAGCAGATGAAGATGTTGGTGACGGTCCTCATGGCTTTGCTGCGGGTCACCACGTAGAGCACCAGGCAGTTGCCGAAGAGCGCCAGGGCGAAGATGAGCACACAGATGAGGACGAAGGCCACCTTGGTGCGACTCGGCAGCTCCGGGATGTACACCAGCGGCTGCAGCCCGTAGAGGGTGATGAACTGCTCCCGCGTCACGTTGTTGTCCCGCAGGAGCTGCGCGAACTGCTCCGGGGTGATGTTCAGGGACCGCATCGCGCCCGCTCGGGGACCGACTCCCTCCTCAGCCGCCTCAGCGCCGCCGCCCGCGCCTCGCCATCGTCGAACCGCCGCCCGCCGGCGCTCAGCCTGCCCGAACCCGGCGGTGTGCAGCGGAGGTAGGGGCGCGCAGAGCCGGGATCAGCCTGCGGGCGATGGGGCGGCGGCGGCGGCGCCACCGCCGCGGCCACAAACTTCGAGCGGCGCCGCCCGCGGCCGCGGCCACGGCCAGGGCGGGCGGGAGGGGGCGGCAGCCAATCAGCGCCGAGCGCGCGCCTGCCCCGGCCCCGCCGCCGCGCAGCGGGACGGGCGCGAGGCGGCTCCGCGCGTGAGGGAGCGCGCGGGGACCCCCTCACAGAGCTGGGACCCCCCTCAAACTGTTCCCTCACAGGGCTGGGGCCCTCTCACAGGGCGGGGACCCCCTCACGGGGCTGGGACCTCCTCACAGCGCAGCCCCTCGTAACTGTTCCCTCACAGAGCTGGGACCCCCTTACAGCTGCTCCCTCACAGCGCAGCCCCTCACAGGGCGGGGACCCCCTCACAGCGCTGCCCGTCACAGCGCTGCCCCCTCGGCGCCGCTCCCCGCTGACAGCTGTTCACTCACAGCGCTGTCCCTCACAGGTGTCTCCCCATCGCAGGCTCCAAATGCCCGAGGCGGGAGCTAAAACTCCCGACCCGACCTCTCGTCTCACATTTTGATCAGGCTGAGAGGGAAACGAAGGAGGTTGTTGGGTAGGTACACGGCTCCCTGCGTGAGGGGGGGCTCGTGCCACCCTACAGCAGGTCGCGCTGCGGCTGGTCCGTGCCCAGCCCAAAAGGGGCAGCGCAGGGATTTTATCTGCCCTTCCAGCTCCCTTTGTGCCAAAGCCGCTGCAGGTCCTCGCACAATGACAAGCCAAAGCTCAAATAAAAAAGTAATTTTCCGGGCTTTGGCCGCTGAGCCCACTGAGATCCCAGGAGGGTCCTGAAGATCCCTTTGCCAGCAGGATAACCACTCTTGCCAGAGGAGACGTGACAGAATCCCATCCCACACAATCTGTCTAGGCAACTTAGGTAAGGTTATGTAGGCTACTGAGATGCACTCAGCAAACTGGCTGCAACAGGAGTCAAGATAATGCCACCACAGCTTAAATGTGGATAATAATGACAGTTAAGGTCTAACAGAGGGATCAAGTTGAAAATATGCATTAATTTGTCTTCCAACCTGATTAAATTGCCCACTACGGCTTTCTCACAAAAGCAGGTATATCCCCTTTGTACTGTATGATAATACATTTAATAGCAACAACTGATCAGTCACACAGTGAATTATCAAAAAGAATCCAGAGAAGGCAATAATAACATGGAAAACTGTTCTGACAACACTTACCACCTCCCACAGAGGTATGTGTTCGATAAGGAAAAAACATCACCAGGGAAAATGCTGCAAAATTAGATTTCATACAGAAGGATGCTCCCTGCCCTAGGTATGTCTTGACTTGTACCAAGAAAACATAGAAAAGAATGAAAAGTCTAGCAAAAGCTGTCTATTTATAAGGTATTTACAAGGTTTCAAGGTTACCAAGGAAAACTGGGGAGGGAAGAGTTCACCACCAAGTCATTCTCAGCAAAATGAACACACCCAGCAAGAGCAAAGCTATTTTGTGTCATCTTTGAAAAAAAATATTTCTGTTAAGTGGAAATCAATGGAGAGAAATTCCAGTGCCTGCACTGGTATGTATGTATTACAACCCACACAGGTCAGTCCTCCAAATGCTGACAATCCTCTTTTAAGGTATAGCTCCATGGCGCAGATTCTCTTTATTAACCCATGGTGAAAGGGTTCTGTCACCTTTCTTTGGTGCAGTACTGCCATGTGTTTTCCGCTTGACACCAATGTGATCAGGCTCCCTCTCTGACAGGCTTTCTAAGCTTGTTCTGGAAGGCAAAGGCTCATCAGACTGACTTAGTTCCTGACATTCAGACAGCCCCTTTCACATTCTCTTAGGTCTGCCTTGTTGGCTAGAAAAGCTTGGTCTTGCTGAGCTTATGTTCCACATCACAGACAGACTTCTTCTGAGCTCAATTTTGCCAGCACCTTCCCTACATTAACTACAGCAGGTATAGCCTAAAGCCACCTTCACGTGCTGTATTCACACATCCTTTCCTATACCTCTTTTTCTTTTCCTTTTCCCTCTTCCCCCAAAACCTCGTTTAGCAGCTCTTCTATTAACAAACAAGCCAGATGCATTTCAGCAGATTTAATTCCTCTTATAAATAAAGGGCCAAACCTGGAGGCCACTCTGTCATCCAGGACTGCAGTGTTGTGTTATTCATTACAGAAAGCATCCAAGTGTTTCAGGAACAAATAAATGGGAATAAGCTCTCACCTAAATACTGCAAATAGTCTGGGGTTATGGATAACATGGACATTTGTTTTTTCATATATCCTTATTTTATTACTATGGCTGCTCATTACAAGTAATCAAAGAGCATTAAAAATGAACAACATCTGAACAGTTAATCTACAGAATATAAACAAATCTTGAGGCTATAGGCTATGGAAGTGGGCCATTACATCTGCTGCAGATTTAGCTGGGGGTTTGTGTGCAAAAAAAGATTTTCCCATTAATATTTACCCACATGGAAAAGACAAAGGATTTACAGAAACTTCCATTTCCTACGAGTATTATCCATCCTCTTAGCTGAAACAATAAGAGCATGGACATCATAAAAGTTATAGGGCAAATCACTAGTAACTGTATTTCCCAGCTCCTTGACCTGAATGAAATCGTATTTGCAGTAAAAAGGGTTGAGTTACAAAAGGTGACCTCATCTAAAACCTGCTGAAATTACTGAAATGACTCCTCTGCTTCCCTGGGCTACCAATAATTGGTAGGTAGTGAAAAGTGTTGTTTACTTTTCAGGGTAGCAACTTGTGTTCTGTCTTATCCTGCACCCCAGGGCTGCTCCAGCTCCTGCTGCTTCCTGCAGCCCACAAAGCAAAGCCATGTGGGGTTGCTCTGACTTTTCCCACACTCATCCAACTCATCAGTAAAATGACCTGCCTGTACATACCTTACAAGGCATTTTTCTGTTCCTTTGATTATTATTTGTGAAACTGATGCATTCACAAATATAAAGCAGTTTGAAAAAAACCCAAAGCATTCTAACAAGTAATTGACTACACAGAGACAATGCATTTTTCATTATTCTTAACTGAAAAAAAAATGAAGCCTCCTACTAATTAAGTGGTTAGAAATATTTTACGTCTGCACCAGAATCCCAGTGAAAACCTTTACAGCTTGAACACAGATCAAGTCTTGGCTTTGCCAGTAACTCTGCTTTGGCTTCAACGAAATTGTATATTCCTTGGTAACAAACCTACAAACTGATAAACATGAAAAGGGGTGAAATACTTTGACAGAGATTGCACTCTGTCAAAACCACTCATTTCTTCATGCCATCACACATTTTTTTTGCCTAGATGATTCATTTGTGTGACACCTTCTTCTCATTCAAAAGGGACAGTGAGTTTTCTGCAGACTGAAAAATACTGTTAGTCAGTCTGTAACCTTCTCTCTTACAAAGAGGAAAGAAGCTGTAATTCCACAGTTTCCCTTCTAGGAGCAAAAAGATCCGTGTGTGACAGCTGTGAGAAAAAGGCCAACAACAAGGAATGTGCACACACAGTGTTGCATAAGGTTTGTCAGCTGAGCATGAAGTTTGTAAAAACTGTGAACAGCACACATTTGGAACGCTGAGAAAGCAATAATCCCCAAACAGAAATTTTAAACCAAACTTTTTTCCTTCCAAATCTCTACCGATATTGTCTAGTTCAGGCAAAAGAAATAGATAACAAAATTACTAACAAAAAATGCCTTTCCTCCTCCTCTTTCACTCCCTTGACATTTCAAAATACTTAGGAAGGGACAATCCAGATCCATGTCAACAGCTTTTAAACAGCCACTGTAGCTAATGATTAGTAAACCTTACTAGCCTTGAATCCTCTGGTAGGTATGTTGGGGACGAACTCTCCTCTAATCCAGATCAGTACCACAGCTTTTAGGATCGTTCTCCAAAGGAATGGAACGGCTTACCATCATCATTAGGTAATTTTAGTTTAAGTCAGAAGTAAAGTGGCTGTTAGAATTGCCAAGACAGCTTCTGAAACATAAATTTAGATAGAGCATTTGCTGTTTGTTGAGAACATATGTTTGGAGAGAGCATTGGAGCTAAATCTTCAACTTCAGATTTACATACTTTTATACATTCAGACAAACAAACCATAAATTATCTTGGGAAAGGGAAAACTTGACACTAATCAGACCAGAATCTTAGTTGGTAACTAAGGATACAGCTCAAACTTGGTATTATCAGTGTATACCAATAATTATGAAAAAAAAGCATGGATATCTAAAACAGAGTTACACACTTGCAAAGTATGTTGGAGAGGCTGAGCAGAAAATAAATTATGTTACCTAGTGCATGGGCCAATGCCAAAATGTTTTGTCTCCTACTGTGTGACTCTGATGATAAATACTGCTGGCTGATCATCTTTATTCTTGGGAAGTACACCTCTAGATTTAGTGATCCCCACTGAGTTTTATAACCCAGCCACATCTGTCAGTGATATTAATGTACAGGGTGAGGGAGACAAACCTTCCATCCCCATACAGCTTGTCAGTCATATTTGATACAGCAATTAAATGAGAATTACATGCAGGAACTACTCTTTGTTTCAGCTAGGAGAGCCCAATTTCACTAGTCCTGGATCTTTCAGACATTTTGACTCCTCCTGCCATTTGTCATCCAGGAATGTTCAGTGAAATTGTGGGATCAAAAGTAAGCTGCAGCAAGTAGAATGCTCAAAGAGAAGAATCTAAATTGACTTGTTTTTTCTATTTTCCTTGCTTTCCTCCCCTATTCTCACTTCTCTTCCAAATGAAGTAAAAAATAAAATGCTCAGCAGCTCCACAACTTTAAAATAATTACGTATAATGTTTAACTTTTGGGGGTTTGTTTGTTTAGGGTTTTTTTTAAGAGTGGGCTTAATTAAAAGAATAAGTAGTGATGTGTACCACATGTGCAAGTAGCATTTCATACACATGCCAAAATACTAAGCCCTATATTGATTAGGTTTTTAAGTTCCTTCCTTGTGCTTGTGCTGAGAAGCAGTTCATCTGTCCTCAATTCACTGAATCTTTTCCCTTTCCAATTCCAATTGTTGTTCTCTTTTATTCACGTGCACAGAAAAACCAGCTACTTTTTGCCACCAGTTATCAACTGCCACAGTTTCCCCAGATGTGAAATTGAATTTCCTCATCTTCTGATTTAATATCAAGTCTAAACCCTGCTCCAGTCCCATTTGTCAAGAAACAGTGGAAAATCCCTCACCAAACAGCCACAAATCTCTTTGTGTTCTCAGAGCATTGGGGGACAGTTGGTACAGCACCATGATGCCAACATCCTCACCCCCTGTAGCCCTCAGGTCATTTTCATTTCTTTCACTGATTTCCGGGTGACTTCTATCCAAAAATCAGTGCTAAACCTCCTGTAAACCTCATTTACACCTGCAGTGAAAGTTGGCAGTAGCAAATGTTTTCTTTCATCTAAAATCTTTCAGCTGTCTGCTCAGCCCCAAATATATTAGAAAACTTGAATGCCTCTTGTTTGTTCCGTCATTTTAGGTCATCGTTTTTGTACTAATTTTTAAGATTTTGGTTGACTGTCACACAAAGCCTCATCTAGTTGTAAAAGACCTATTACCTTGCATAGCTTTTAGCTATTGGCCTTCTTTTTAACTTACACCAGAATTAATTCTCCATCTAAGAGCAGACAGAATAATTTCCACACTTCCACCCAAGAAATAAAATACCAAAGTAATTTCACTTCCTGATAGTCCAATTATCCTTTTCTTTCTTTCTTTCTTTCTATTGGTACTAGTGTTCAGCTTTGTCATTTGCAAGACATTGGATTAAATGTCTGTACTACAGTGTCTCCTCTCCTTTGCTTCTCAAGTAAAGAACAAAACAACAGATTCAGTTCTAGATGCCAAGTTAAAACTGAGGGAATGTTTGGATCCAATTCTTGCCATGGAAATGCATATGGTGTTACAGGGATTGACAATGGAAAAAAGCACTTCTAAGCATTGTCACTGACATGTTAAATTTAAGTTACAGTCATGATTTGGTGTATTATTATTAAAATACTGTGATATGAAGATTATCACACTGAAATGCATTCAATCATTTGAAATGTTTCTATTTATAATCATTAATTTCATGTTGTCACGTAGAGATTTAAGCTGGTTTGACCTGCAATGACTATGTGACAAAATTTCAGTCCCTCATTTTCACATATCAAATACACCTCAGGGAAAGTTCTTTCCTAAAGAATATAATGCTGCAGTCCTATATGTCAGGTATTCAGTTACATAGATGACCCTAAATTATTTCTGAGAGAGAAATTTCTATAAACTGTTAAAACTCTTAAAAATCATAGCTCCTGTTGGACAAAATGCCACCAGTAATAGTTAAAGAGCAGATGCCATATTTGCTTCTATGTAAGCATTTTTTTCTATACAAAACCAGTATTTGCAACCCTTTAAAAATCCTTTGACAAGTTGCAAAGGATTTAAAAAGGAAAAAAAATTACCACTTCAGATGCAAAAGAGGGTTGGTGAGAAATTACTTGGGGGAAAAGGCTGATGAACAGAATAAGAAACCTTGGGAGAGAGAGACTGCAACAGAAATAATCAGGAAAGATGAACATAAAAGTATTAGCTAAATAATTCTCTTCCACAAAAGACCTTTCAGAGCAAATCCACAGATAGAGGGAGATGAAGGCTGCCCACAGGGAGATAAAATATTTCTTATCCTTTTTGATGAAATCAGACTCTCAGACTTTTTTCCATCTAAGAGTCTTCCTACTGTGATTAATCTGCACCTTCTCTGAGAAGGTAGTTAAAACAATCACATTTCTGTGGAAGATTTTCAAAAACCACCTGATGACTTAACAAATACCAGTCCCAGTGAAAGGCAGTGTACACCATCACTTAGAAAAATCCCAGGAAATGGCTCATCTTGCCCTTTTGGATCTGGGAGTTTGCTGCTTCACCATGACTTGAGCAGCAGCTGGATTGATCCCTCTCAACTCCAGAAGGTTTTATTACATCCAAGCATGTTCTGGTCTGATTGGCAGCAGTTTTCTAATTTACAGATAATCATAATATTTCAGATAGGAGAAAAAATACCCAGTTCATGAAATACCCTGTGCACCACTCTACTTCACACAGTATTCCAAGAGGGATAAATCCCAGGCCCTTTAATATGGCCCATCATGGGCAATGTGGGGCTCATGAATGATAATCAGGCTCCTTGGCTATAAACTTGTGTGTCTTTTAAGTGTTCCTTAAAGCTGTTGTGACTGGTGACCCTGCTAAGTTGCTAATACACCATGATTTAGTTAGGGGTGATTATTTCCACATAACCCTTATTATTCTAAATTAGATCAGCTTGCTCTGAATAATTCCTTCCTTTCAATTAGAATATTAAATCATCCTTCTTCCTTTTCAATGTTTTGCATAACATCAGCTAGGAAGGGTGGCATCATGTGCTAAGCAGCAAGAGGCTTGTGCTAGCACACTTCTGCTGCTTGCATTGACCTGCTGTCCCCGAAAATAAAATTTACAACGGGAGATGTATGCGTGAACACACAGATTTCAAGGCACAGGCAGATTTCAGGGTATAATCCTGATGAATAAATTGGTTTAGGACATTTAACTGAATGCGTATTAAAAATGCCAGGATCAACAGGATACAGAAGCAATTGAATTTTGTGCTTTTAAGGGTTTGGGAGCTGTGTTCAACTTGGCTAAAGATGATGATGATCACTCTGGGATATTTACTTCCAGTTCATGTATCTCCATGAATCAAGTGTCATGGAACATCACAGAATGTCAACAATAGGAATAGGTACAATTTGTCACACAGACTCACAGCAGATGAATGAGATAGTCAGTGGGCTGACAAAAGCTTTGGCAAGAGTGAGACTGAGGAGGAAGAACAGGAGTGGGAAGAGATGGAATCTCACTCTCACTGTTTATTTGCCCCTTCAAGTATCACCTCAGCAGTAGGTTATACCCTGCTTTTGAATACCAGGATAAAAGTGAATCTAGTTCCAAAAGAATTAAAAATATTATTAAATTATTGAATAACCAAGTGCCATGATCAACTAGAAAAAGAAACGTAGGATTTTCATTGTTAGTTACAGAATTTCAGCCTAAGGCTGAAACAACAAAAAGCTCCCATAGGCAGATGCAATCACCAGAGACCAGAATTTTGGACAATTTTATGGATTGGGGTGGTATTATAGCAATATAAAACAGGAATATAAAAGCTACTGGAAACTTTTATAGTTACCTACACTGTCAATAAGACAAGTGTTATTTGCAGAAGCAGTAACTTCCTCAGTGTAATTCAAGGATAAAAGAGGTCAAGGAAGTGAGAAAAAGCATTAAATTGTGTAAGAAATTCTGAGAATCTTAAATTACCTGAAGTGCAATGGAACAATCTGATCTTCAAACAGTGTCAGCATGAATAGGCATTTTTGGCACAATTCATTTTTCCCATTACAGAAATGTATTCAGGGACACTGTGGTCTTTGTTTTGTAAGAATGTGAGTGGTTTACAAAGAGAACACCATGAAATAAATCTAAGGAGTTTTCTCCTGAGTGTAACAGAGGCAAGAAAAATAGAGCTATGAATCAAACCTTTGCCACTTCATATTTCACAGCTACTGTTACATTGTACACTGCTCACCATGAACTTCTAGATCATTTTATGTAGAAAGAAAAAGTTCCGAAAATATTCAGCCTGTTAGGGACTCAGTGGCAGAGAACTCTGCTCTTTTCCAAGGAGGGTTTTGACCATGGCTCCATGCATGCTTCCAGCCCTTTATTGGGTAAACGAACATTTTTTCTATCAAGTCTGAAGATCATCATCCTTCTCCAGCTGAAGTGGAAGAGTTTGGTCACACCAATGCCTCAGCCTTTGCCAATATGTTCAACACGAGGAGCACTTCTGATTCTTCTCAGTTTGAAACCAATCAAGCCAAATTGGAAAAGGCACAGAGAAGGATGATTAATGGTACAGAGTTTTTCCTGATGTGCAAAACCCCTCAGCTTGGGAATGAATGATACAGAGAATGAGAACAGAAGTCTAAGAGAATAACACCGAGTGACAGAAGCTGGTGAAGTGAACATGGTTGTTTCTTTAAAAAAAAACAAAAACAAAAAACCACAAATTTGCCTGGTTATACTTTCTATTTTCAAGCTGACAGTGGTGTAATTAAATACAGAAATAGTCAAATCCTTGAGGCAATATTCCTTCTTCCTCCAGCTTTTCAAATTATACTCACAGTTCTGAGAGACAAACAGTGTTTAGTGTTCCAAGTTACTGCTAAGTCCATTGCGTCAAAATATTAAAGCCACAGCAACAAAAAATACAAATTTGACCCAGATCAGAAAATAGAGATGGTCATTAGTAAACATCATGTCTTGTCATTGACAACTGGCGGGACACGGAGGGGTGGAGGGACACGGGATAGAGGAGAGAGGGAGCAGGAAAGGGTCACTGCACATGGAAGCACCTTTCTCAGTTATCACTGGTTTTATATGACACAGCTGAACTTTGCCTGTGTTTAGGATGAAAGTGTCATTTTCTGATTTCTCTGTCTTCCATATCCTCAAGTTAATGACAGCCAAGCTATTTCAGTGCACAACTGAAAAAGAAAAAGATCTTTCAAGTTATTGCTTTTGAAAAAAAAAATATCTGCAACTGAAATAGTTTTGCCTCAATACATTTTCTACCTAAAATTACATTTGGAATAATTACATTTTTTAAGCATAAATAAGAACTTTCAGAATTTTTTATTAAGCCCCAGCATTGCAAAGAATGAAAACCACTGGATGAGGAAAGTCACCAACTGAGGAATTGGTAATGAAGTTTTTTGATAGCTGTCAAAGTGAACTGTACTGAATTGATCCTGGAGACTTGACTTCCCTGCAAATCAGTTTACCATAGCAGTTATCATTCAGTGCAGGTCAGCTGTTCTCTGCAAACCAATTAAATATGAATGCTAAAGCCAAGTAAATTCAGTTATGAAAACATGGTTCTTTGCCCCTTGCTTTAAATCATACTGGTTTATATCAGTCCTCATTATTCATCCTTATCTTTTTGCCTTTCCCAAAAGCATAATTGAGGACCTTTTCTTATCATTTCTGTGCAAAAACAAAAAATGTATTTTCCAAAAGATTTTATTATTTTTTTCCTCATTCAGAGCAAAATAAGTACCATGGCAATCAGACACTTGGTATTTAATATTTGATAAAATTAGAGACCTTCAAAGAACCATCTGTCAGATTTTGAGATTCATTTGAGAGGGGCATATCCATCTTTCCTTAGCTTTATAAAACTCTGCTAACTCCAGAAATTACCCATGAACTCCTACAGAAGAGCACTACAGAGGTTATAAATAATATAATTTTTTTCTTACCATCTCTCAAGATCTCACAGAGCTCTGGACTGGAAGTCTTTTCCATTTTAATATGGCTCACTGGAGACATTGTTAGAGACACAAGCTGAAACACCCCAGGCAACCAGGTATCTAAGATATGTTCCAGGAGAAAGTGTTCCCTGTTTCACCTGCTCCTGCCTTACATTAGTTTCCCAGCTTTAACTACCTGCTGGTCTCCTCAAGTGTTCTTTGTGAGCTTGCAAAGAGCTCACTTTCTCTCTTAGCCACTGTTTTTTTAGCTATTTGCGGGAAAAATAACTCTGAAGAGAACCTCACATGTGTAATTTGTCAGCTCTGTTGTGTTCTTATTTAAAGCATGACTCATTTAGCTGAGGTACACAGCATAAATAAACAACCTGTCAGACAGCAGCACTGCCGTAGCTGGGTAGCCCTTTCTGCCCTTTCCTTCTGCCACTTAAATCCCAAAAGTTTTGCTCTCTTGTGACCACAGCGCAGCTCTCAACCCTCTGGGAATGAAAAAGCCCTCAACATTTTCCAGAACAGTCGATTCCTTTAGGAATCTGGCATAAATAAGTAGCTGAAGAGCAATTACTATATTCCACTGCCCTTTCCTAGACCTCCCTCAGGTTGTTCCAGGAGCACGGGCTGAGCCTTCTTTGTCGCAGGGGCTGGCACAGGGCAGGGGCCATGAGAGGAAAGGGCACCTGAAACTTGAATGAGTTCCTAAGAGCTTTAATTAAAAGATAATTAAAACTGTAATATTGTGATGATAGACCAGGTAAATGCCTCTGAGAGACAGAGAGTCCTCAATGTTGTCACAGGCTGAGCGTGGTAGTGTCAAAAACCCGCTCCAGTTAGTGGCATGTGGGAATTGCTTGATATTCTTTTTAGATACATCCATTCCACACATTCCTTTTCCAAGAGTGAATTTATATATATGCTTCAAAAAATTGTAAGATTTTATGCTTTAAATGTTTTCAATGAATTCTTTTGGCTGGGCCTAAACTCAAAGTTGCAACAAGAGCCGTTGGGTTGTTCTCTCTGTTGTGAAACAAGATAATCAGCCTTTGAAAACACCATTCATCTGTTAGATCTTATTAAACTACTTAGACTGGGACTACAGTAAATAGTTTTAAATTTTGAAGTCTATCATGTGGTAACCCCAAATACCATCATTTACTGATAAAACTGAGTTTTGTGGCAATACAGTTTTCATCATACCGAATAAATGCATACTTAGTAACTTAAATTACATGTATGCATGATTCAAAAAAAAACCCCCACCAAACAAACCCTTGAAAATAAATGGTAGGAGGATGAAATGAGCTTTATTTTTTTTCTTGTACTAACCTTATACACCCGGCCTGCCCTTGGAAAATAATTCTCTAGATTTCTTTTAGCAAACCCATGTAACTATGTGCCAAACTAGGATTTTACTTGGTCAACCAAGATTATGTAACTGGGACTTTTCACTGATTTCTTCATGTCAAAAAGTGCAGCCTAAAGAATAGGGCTTGTTTCAAGGAGCTGTGGTAGCAGCTTTTCCCTAAATTAGCAAAGTTAATTCAGTCACCTTGTTTGCTATCCCAGAATAATGATGCACAAGTTTCCAGTGCTTCTCAAAACTGTCTAAGTTACCATCCTGTAATTGGGGGATCCGGAGAGACAAGAAGCCTTGACAGGCACTCAAGCTTAATAACAACCTCACAGCATTTGCATTTCATGTGTCAGAAAGATTTGGCAATAACAGGCAATAATTGCTGGAACCAGGGGGACAACAGGTACCATTTTCCTACCGAGATCCAGTAACACAACTGGAGGTGACCAATGGATGGATGGGCACTGCCAGGTCCCAACAATGAGGATTCTTACAAAGCAGAAGGGATGGGGATGGCCAGGCTTTTTGATCATCTGTGGCTGGCAGGAAATTCAACAGGAATGCAGGGAGTCTGGCAATTACCATCAGCAATGCTTCAGTCACACTGGGAAATGAGAGAAAAGGACAAGAGTTTCTGTGCTTTTGTCAACCTCAACACCTGTATAGGTGCAGATGCCATTTCTAACGGGAAACTGGAAAAACTTGCTTTTTACATGTGAAATCTTTTTATTCCTTTGATAACTTTCCTTTTAAACTTCAAATTATTATTTTAACTAAGAAAAGGCAGCTCAGAATAAATTATAGAGCAGACATCTACATAACATTTGTCTCTAGAGATAATTACTCCCACTTTGCCACCAGCAGCAACTTAATGAAAACAGCAAGTGTTTGGCAATACCCCACAGGCATCACACAGGCACAGGAGATGTCACCAATCCCAAGAGTCCCAGTAACAGTCAAATCCTTGAGGCAATATTCCTTCTTCCTCCAACTTTTCAAACTTTGGAAAACAGCTGACAAAAATAAATCAATAATAATGATTTTTGCAAGCATTGCTCGCTTTGTTTTTAGTTGAAATTATTTCCTCAGAAAATAGCACTTACTTGTATGATCCCAATAGCAACTGGCTGCCAGAACTACTTCTAATTCCTATACTGTTCTCCCCTGGAAGATTTCTTTTCCACAGTGCCCTCACATTCTTACAGGTGCATATTATCCTAACTTGTTCCCCTTAAAACTGGTTATAGTCAAACATATATAGTGTATGGCAACAGAAGAGATACAAGAGGCTGTGTTTAAACTATTAGCCAGGGAAGGGCAGCCCCTGCTTTTGGTCTGCTTAATAACTCTGCTGCAAACAACAACCCTTTCAGCATCATGTTTGCATAACCACAGTCAGAGTTTCTAATTTCCCCCCAGTTTACTGAGTCAAATAAGTTCTGAACTATTGGGCTGGAGTTAAGTCATTTATCTTTCAGATTTATCCCCCAAAGAAACACCTCTCTATCAACACACTAGTAGTTGCATTGGCAAGCAGGGTTTTTCCTAGACCTGACATGGCACAGAACTTCCTGTAAAGTCAGGTTCACTTCTCAGAAGTGTTTCTCTAGAATGGCTCCAAGTAACTCCCTGTCTGACTCATGTCCTTCTGCAGCTCTGCACAGTGACAGGTTACAGAGCCCTCTCGAAGCTGTTGGTGAGATCACCCTTTGCTAACTCATGGTGGCATAGAAAGGCTGCTGAGCTCTGTTACCTGCCCTCTGGGACACCAGCTAGTGACAACTGTTCCCAGGTGGAATTGTGTCCATTCATGTTTGTGACCCCATTTATTTCCCATCCTGTACATGGACAGGGCACTGCTGGTGTTTTAATACTCCAGGTCAGTGAACGTGGGAGAGAGGACAGCAGAGCAAACACTGTTTGCTGCCACAGAACTGTGACAAACTGGGAACTGCTGACTCCTGGAGTGATTCTCACCTCTTCAGCAAGTTCATTGCTTTCAGGAAACACTCTTTTTCCCTGAAAAATGCTTTTCATTTAACACTGAGCTCCATTAATTTTGAACCAGGTGCCATCCTCCTTACTGCTGAGTTGAAGAACTACTGCTTTTATTTCTGCCTGAGATTTGTAGCTGCTGACAGACTCTTTTAATGGGAATCTTCATCAGATATATCTCAAAATTTCAGCCACAAGAAGGTACAATCCTTTCTGATCTGTTACAAGAACATATTCCCATGACAATTTAGTGTCTCTTTCGTAAAATAAGAGACAAAGTAATAAGGCTATCCTGCCTTACAATTACAGCCACCTCTGCATACTTGAAGTCACCAATAAAGCATTAAGAAATATTTTAAATTGCTGGAAAAACTCCTAGATTTTTGCAAAGTTTCTCATTACCGAGCACTACTACAAAAGCCTGTCTCAAAACAACCCTCTGGCAGCAGCAGCTTTGTGCTGTCACCCACATTCAAACCAGCCTGTATAAAGGAGTGATTCCTCTCCGATAGGCACACCAAGGGATTATCTTGGCATTCGACAGCTGCTTAATCTGCAGGAGCAGGTGTTATTTCCTTCCAGGAAGGATTGAGAAAAAGTGATTGGCAATAAGCTGTGAAAACATTCTACCCTTTCAGTTCTTAGAGAAAAATGCATCAATGCTTTTGCTTTGCCCTGTTTGATACATCCCAGGACTTGCTTGGCTCAGGGACTGCACAAC